TTTGGAAGAAGTGAGCTTTGCTGATTATGTATTTCCAGTTTATATAGAACCACTCTCCCGTGAGCTGATGCAGATGAGTGTTTTGCAGCATTTAGTCTGTTGAAGCAACGACACTGGTCTGGTGAGTTCAGCACTCCAGCTTTTTCACTCCAGACCCTGGATTCAAATCTTGTATTTCAGTCACAAGCAAAACAACCTTAGACAATATCATGCTGCTTGTATGCAAACCTCCTCCCGCCCCAAACCAGCGCAAACCATTGTACTACCTTGATTTGAGTCAACAGCCTGTTTAAAGGAAACCATAATGGGAAAACAAGTCTAGACATCTTTCCATCAGAAAAATCAAACTTGTATAAGCTGGTTGAGTGACATAGTTGGTGTGGAATGCATGCTAGTTTATACAATATAAGTGACATAATCCTTTGTTGAGTACATCAGTATAGATTTTTATTTATTCTTCCATTTAATACTAGGCGCCACTTTTTCTTCACAGATATTACATCTGTCCACTGCCTCCTCTCTTCGTAGATGGCAAGCTGGACATAAGTATTATCTGCAGCAAAAAGATTACCTTCCTCATATGTTCCTTGCCAGTTAACAAATCAGAAATTGTCAGCTTATGAGTATTACAGCATTGTCAAACAGATGTTGCTATTACTTTTCTGTTCAGCTTCCAGAAAAACCGGTGAAGAAAATAGAGGTTACGAGTTGACATGAGATTCCCAAATGCTCATCACTGGCAGAGGTTTGTCTTTGGGCGATTTCTAGAAAAGAACTGTCCAGTAAATCCCTCTTGACACACTGCGTCTATGCAGATCTATGGATTGCTGTACTTCTGCAACACAGATGTACCGGAAAGAACATTTAGTTTAAACAAACATCCAGACTACATTCAGTCCCCTCTCCTGGAAACTTTGCCTAAAGAGCCGCTAATGACACAATAAAACTACATATTTCTGATCAAATAACACCTGGTGAGTCAGCAATGTTAAAGGCTATGGACCTGTGGCTGAAGTGTGAAAACATGCTTCAAGCCATCCTAAAACAAGACATTCAAACTACTAGAGGTTTTAAAAAAAAAAACAAAAAACCAACCCAAACCAAAATCACTGAGAAAAACATAACAGAGAAGACACAATCAATATATACCTTCTCTCCTTTTTTTTTAAGTCTTCCACAGAGATAGAAATTGGACACCATCCACTTCAAAATCCCATTTGTACCTATCAACTTTATAAGCAAACCAGTAAAAACCCACCAGTACAGTTACAGGAAAACACAGGTTTACCTGGCATGTTTTTCAACAGTTTATGTAGGTCCAGAGTGCGTCAATAGGTAAGTTTCTTCCACATCTCTAAGCACTGAGCTGGGAAAGGCCCAACTGTACAGCTAAAAGGAGCAGAAAAGCTGAAACTAAACACACAGACCTGTGAAGAATAGAAATGAGGCCCAAAGGTTTGGTATTGGTACTTCTTCGTTGGGGAGAGGGGCAGAGGGGGAGATCCTCATTTCAACAACAGTTCACTTATATCAGCTGCCTATAGCAGCAGTACAACATTTTTATGATGTTTAACATTTTCAGTTAATGACGAACGGGGTAACAGGAGGACAGATAAGTTGTTCATGATTAGCAAGGCATTTAAAATTCGGAAACCTGGAATTTTTTTTGAAAAGTTCTTTCTGATGGACAGGAAGAGGAAGGGAAGACATCCCAAATCAACACTTCTGTGACTTCACTTCAGAGAATTCCCCTACCAAAAGTTTCAGTCTTCAGATTTCCTGGAGTTTTAAATACAGAGAGGGAGCCAAAGACAACAAAGATACTACACACCTAATCTTGCTCAGATGTATGTTATAACATAGCAAGCAGAGATTTTTTTTTTTTTTTAATATAATAGCTTCTTCAATTACAAGTTGCACACCTTCGTTTGTACTGGGAGATGTTTGAAATTGTGAATATTAGTAAACATTAAGCATTAATTTCTCCATCATGATACTACAGATCCACACTAAAGTAAAGGTGAGCTAACCTTTCACTGGAACAGAAAGCAACTTGCAAAGCCTTTTTGAGCAGCAGTGAGCCCAAACACCTATGCACTCAACAGTCACTATGTGAATTCATTTTTAACACATCAATCTTCTTCTCAGGCTATGGTGACATTCGCGTTGTCAGCATGCTGAACCTCAGCTACACAGTTTTAAGTACCAATGACACCACACCAAAAAAGTGTGCTGAAGACTTCTGAACTCTCAGTTACATTACCTCAGAAAGCAGCAACAGTGAAGGCCAAGCAGAGATGAGACATCCCTGTGTAAGAGCTGTCTTACAGCATCCAGTATCAACACTGTTCAAGATATAAACATTTTGTGCAATTATGCCCTCTTCCATCAAGGAAATGCCTGAAAAAGTACCACACCCTCAGATTCAGCAGCACTGACAGCAGGAGACAGGCCTAAAATACATATGCCACCAGTCAGCTCCAGAGCTTAGATATTCATCTTTCATACATACATATGATGAGTAAGGAATAGGGGGACAAGTTACACTACAGTTATCAAAGTAGCCCACTCTCAAAGGTGGAATTTTTCTCCCTTCCAACTCTCATGAAGAACTCAAATTTACTCAGTCATAGCGGAGGTCTTCTCTACTCAAAGGTACCTTTGAACATATTTTATCTGGATTGAATGCATCTGAACTACCCAAATACCAGCACAGGACACTTGTGCTTCCAGTAGGAGGTTCTGGTGCTGCACCTAAACAGACTTCACAGTGCTACTTATTTAGGGATTAAGAAACTTGCTCATAATTCAGCAAAGTCTTAATAAAACCATTTAATGAATGGAGTAACAGTAACTAACTCATTTGCCCAAGGCCACAAAAGTAGTAGAATTGGAGCCAGTACTTTCAAATCTCCTGGGTCCCAGACTGGTCCATGTTTATCTTCACTTAATTATGAATTTAGAAAAATATGACTTGCCTTTAAGTTCTCATCAAGGTGCAACAACAGCAGATCCATGGAGACCCATTCTTCATGCTTTCTGTGTAGTGCATGAAATCACATCAGCTGTATTGATATACCGTGACGGAGCATAAGGAAAGTATCTTTGAAGGATATTACAAATACATACATATATTCCTCAAATGCAAAAGGACTTCTTCTGTTGTCTTAACCAAGGATTTCAAAATAGAGAGAAGCATGTCATATTCATGTAACACTCTTTGAACAGCTTTGTTAGTAGCAAATAAAGCCAACTTTCTTCCCCATTTACTAGTGAAAACAAATGCTATGAAATGAGTTTTCTAGCACCATTAAAAAAATCTCAGTACTTTCACAGTGTTCCTACTCTAGAGACGCTGGGATCTGCACCAATATTTGCCAGTGTGACATCAACTAGTTTTTCCATCCCATGCCTCAATTTGTTGAGATCACTGGTTTAGAAATTACTAGTGATGACATACACTGCCACCTTGTGTTACTGTTTAGAACTGAAAAGGCCTGAAAAGCTGGATCTCACACAAACATCCAGCTTCAGCTGTTTTAACTGCATTTTTTTTTCCACAGCCACTGTCCCACATGAGCAGCCTCTCCACTTTTACATAACTAAGATCTAACTCAGACTGCAACAGATTTAAGCCTCCATGATCTCAAGAAACAAAGTTCATTCTTCTCCACTAACTGATGCAAGTACTTTCAACAGTACATAGTTTTGCAGAGACGGTGCTAAGTGGCATAGATATTACCTTTTAGGTTTGAGATGCTATTCCTCCAGCACAAGCAAATAAATACATATGTTACAATACTGCATTGACAAAAAAGTGAGGCTAAGCTATTAATCCCTTCCACAACCTGAATCTGAAGAAGAATAATAGAAGTTGTCCCCTTTGCATCCCTGGACTACATTTTGAGAACAAGTATTGTGTCACGTCATGCCCTCCTCTACAAGAGGAGACTGAGGGCTCATTTACCTACAATGGCTGGGTACAAGCTGAGCAACCATATTCTGTACCAGCAGCACACACTGGGATAGGAGCACCAGGACCAACAAGAGAGATGGGACATTGTAGATATCTCAGTGGTCTGCAGCCAGCCCAATAGTCCTGCTACGTCTGGGCCTCACAGGGGACATGGAAGCAATCAACCATTACAGCTTCTCAAGTCTAAAGCCAAGTGTAATTACACTGTGTCTTGCAAAGCAGTCCCAAGCCCAGCAGGTGTATCACAGAAAAATATGTGTTAACAAGTAGAAGAAAGAAAAATGTGGAATGGTTCTGGAAAAAGATGTTTGTGAACTTTGAACCTGTATTGTCCTTTTAAATACATGCTGAGTGGAAGTCCTATTTTCTTTAAAAAAAAAAAAAAAAAAAAAAAGGAAGGCTGCCTTATAATTTGGGTAAGTATTGCTATCTAGAGGTAAAAAGAAAGCTTCTGTTGTCTCTATTCTGAATAAATAGCACAGTATCAGAAAAACTTCTACAAGTGCAATATCTTTAGACAGATCAAAGTCTTAGGTTACCAGTTTTCCTCCATGCTGGGCAATACTATGCAACCTGTAAAACATTACTATATTGTTAACTATTTACATGACAGTAGCATTGAGCCTACCTACTTAATTTCTGCTCTGACATGAAATTGGAAATTTTTGTATTACCTTGTTTCTCACAAATTATTGAAATAGAAGCATTACAGTAATTCACAGAATTCACAAGCTTAATTGTAGCATTCAGCGGGAGTCTTTCTTGCTCTAGCAGAGAGCAGTTTTTCCCATCAGGTGAGCTGGCAAACAAGGGTTCATAGAGGAATATGCTAAAGTTAAATAGCATTCACTGACCAATTCTGACACAAGATGAAATTTAGTTTAGAAGCCTTTTTTTTTTTTTTTTGAGTTATGTTTCTTTCTTCCCTTCCCCCCCCCCCAAGCAGAAAAAAGCAAGACACAAGTCTTCTGCCATACTAATGTATTCCATCTTTCAAAAAGAAAGACATGATTTTAATATTACTTAACAATATGTTAAAAAAGTAGCCAGTTAGGCTTCAGTGTTAATACAATTATACACTCTATAACAGATTTGATAGTGTGAGTACTGTTCTTTTTTAAATTTTCTCATTCTGCAAGTATTCTTACACAAGCCGGCTACAAGTCAGGAAAAAAAAAATCAAAACACAAATAGCGTAACTTGTACACTCTTAAACAGTAGATTGTGAAAGAACTGAGGAAATACTTGTCCCATAAGAGCCTCTTTTTCATGAAGTCATGTCAGGAGAATTCTGGAGCAGATGAAAGCACAACTGACTAGGTCCATTCCTTTGTCAGGAGTCAGAATGACAAAACATAGCTAGATGCAGAAGTGACAGGAGCCACTGCAGATGATGCAAACTAGTATTTTGGCCTCCACCCAAGCCTAAGCAATTTAAAGTCTTTGAGGCCAAGGCATTCAGAAGGAGATGGAAAAGAGCTATTGTTCCAACTCCAACGGCATACAGCTACAATCAAGTAAGTCTCACTCACAGACTACAAGCACACAAGCTAACAAATTCAGGTAGAAAGTGGCAATTTTTCAGTCCGCAAGAATTATCAGGCCAAAGGGTTCAGTGCAGATCCACACAGCACTGGGGACAAGGCAAGGCAGCACTGGCTCAAGACCAGATAAGCTCTCAGCACAGCAGGACATATAAGTGGAGTTGTCGTTCATTGATTCCTGCAGGGTTCCCTCCCCATATTGTGTCATTTCAATGTGCAGCAAATGTGGTTTTTTTCAAGCTAAAATTGGACCAGTTGATGGAAAGTCTCTGCCTTGTCTGTCTGGCAGAATCCAAGCAGAATCTGAAAAGAAAGAAGTGATAAAGTGAAACCAATATACTTAAAATCAAACCACAGGTGTTACCCTCTTTTGAAGGGCAGCTCTCATTCAGAAAGACAAAACCTCTTAAAAAAATCATACCTAAAGAAAAAAAAAATCACTTGTCCATCACTCAAATACATCACAAACCAGTTATTTTAAACACCACTGCATTATCAAGAGTAAGTGAATGAAGTAGCAAAGAACACTGCATATTTAACAGCACAGAAGCTGGCTGTATGTTAACTAGAAACAGAGCTGGCATTGCTGTATTTACCAAAAACTTTGTAGCAGTAAGAATGAGCAGTAGGTAATATGTAAAGCAGAAGCACCAATAGCATGGGACACTGGTGCTTCTCTTCTGGATACAGGAAAGTTATGTTTGAGACAAAGACCCAGGGAAAGGAGGTTTGTTTATAATAACAGCAGATAAGTAGCTCACATGCCTGGAAAAAGCACCTTCAGAACAAAACCCTACTTATTTGCTTTCACTGAACACAATTTACAGAAGAGCTTTTGAAAAAGGTTGCCATATGCAGGTATGTCAGTGACAGTTAATTCACGCTGAAGTCTTTTACTGAGGCAAGCTGTAGCTTGTTTAGGCTAAAGGCTGCATGACAGCATCAAGGTAGCACATACCCCTCTCTAGAAGGCTATACAGCTTTTCTAACAACTGAAAGCCAAAAAAGGGGAGCAGACAGAAGCGGCGAAATAGAAAGGTACAGTAGAAGGTTAGAAGAACTAAGCTTATTTTGTTATTTTCATGCTAAAGTTAGAAGTAGCTTGCAAAATTAATTCTGAAGTCAGGGTGTAAATAAATTAATGTATCCATCTATTATGCCACTACAAAGCAAGAAGAAAAGATGATGAATTAACAAACTATCAGTAAAAAGTATGAATTCAGTAGGCCTGTGCAGCTCATTGCCATGGAGGGTTATTAAAACAAGCAATGTTGCTAGCCTTCTAAGTATTATATTGGAAATTATAAAATTATAGAAAACATAGGCATTATAAGTGTTTTCACAGCATAAAGTAGCTGTTTTTCTCCCCTAGAACAGCACCTATCAGGGCATTTCAGACACCTTTTCTAAACAGGTATACATAAAAAAACTGGACACTTCCTAACAGATGACAGTAAAGGAATAGATTACACCAGTTACTGAATTGATTATAAAACGGTACAGTTAAAAGTTTTAACTCTTCATTTGGAACCACATTTGACAAGTTTATCTCCAAACTTCAGCTGCACTTCCACAAATATAAGACACTGCTTCATTTGTCTTATTGAGAGTAGAGAATTGGTGAAAAGAACTTTTCTATTTTCTTGTTACAGATACTGCAAAATTGAATGAAGCTAAGAATATTCCATGAAACCTATAACAAAGGCTTATGCTATACCAACACTAGCACTATCTAATATATGCCACATCTCACCTATAAAACCTACACTTCGATTTAAAAAAAAAATCTTTTAATTGGCACCACTCAAAAATAATTTTTAAGAATAGAGAGTATGTACTTTTGAAAATTTCATCTTCTAGCACATCGTAACCCCATAAATAATCACAGACATATGCATTTTGTGTAGTAATAATAAGCAGCACCAAAGAGCAATTGTACTCTGTCATTTGCAAGACCCAGATCTACATTACATCCCAGGCACATAGATTATCAAAACTATATAAATTTAGAAAAGAACTTGAAATCCATACTGGAAGCCCTTTCTTAAAAAAAACCCACCCTTTACACAAGTGGATTTAGTTGTTTATGAAATACTACTATTGATTCCTAAATTATTCAATTGCAGGAAACTGATTTATTTGTAACATTTCAGATTTGGCTATCATGATGGAAGGCTTACTAGATGTATTGATAGGAAACTAGCACACCCAGCCACCATTAAAGAACATAAATTTGAGCAGATTTCAGTATTATGGAAGAATATGTGCTACATTATTTAAACATGAGCTGTCTGCTCATATTTGAGGAATTTAAAGGTTACTAATGTGATGCATAAATGCCAAAAGCAACCAAAGTGCACAGAAGAAAAAACTTTCATAAGCATAGGTTCACATTATTCTTTTACTGTCACTGCACTAGCATAAGCATCCCCTCTTTATGATTGGCATAAGCTAATATCCCACAGTTATACTATCTTAACTTCATGTACAGTATAAAATTCCAAACTAATAGCTCCTATAAACAAGGACAAAAACATCATGAACAAACATTTTTTTAAAGTATCTGTTCTGAAATTTAAAACGTAAAGTTTTATTTGTTCAACACTTAACACGGCATTTTTCATATTTTTATTTTAAACACTAATCGGTATTTAGTCTGTGAGGATAATAAAAGAAATATTCATGCAAACTTTGTTTATAGAAAAAAAATAGTCACTGAGGATATTCTGAAAGCCTTGATGAGAACCTGGGGGACACACAGATGATTCTGGCACTCATTTCTGTATTTATGTTACTCAGCGATGATATGTGTCCATAAATTTACAGCTTTGGTGATTGTTACAGCATTCAGAATGTCAGCTGTAACAGGATTTGCTACATTACAACACAGCACAACACAGGATTTTCTGGTAGGAGTTAGTTATGAAGTTGTGGGGGGGTTTTTTGGTGGTTTTTTTGTTTTTTGTTTTTTTTTAAAACCACAGCATATGGGAGGAGGCACAACAGCTTTATGCGTAGGGATTACAGTGCTTTACCTTTTAAAATACTCCACTTCTCGCTCTGTTTCATCCATTTCCACGCTGTCTAGATCAATGTCTTTGGGTAGAAACACATCATCTACAAAGGAAAAAGGATGAGACTACATTAAGTTCCATGGGGAGGGGGGAAAGAGAGGAAGAAGCTTGAAGACGCTGCATTAAAGATGTTTTTGGAGAACTGCCTGAACTTTGTAGACTATTGATTATTCATGTCTAGACTGAATTAATACAAACTTATAATTAGAAAGACACTTCTTAAAAACCCTGTACTAGTACCTCTGCTCAGTCTTTAAGGAGTTACACTGGGAACAAGGAGGAGATGAATCAACAGTAAATTTACTGATCACACGGGTTGCAAAAGATGCCATAAACCTGGACCACACATAAGAACGGTCAAGTTATACAAAGGGCTCAATGAATCAGATAGCTAATGAATAGCATTCGACTGCCTGAAATTTGTTGTCCTTCCTACTTAAAAGGTAGCTTTAGAAACATTTTAAAAATGGTATTTACAAAGAAAAATATTTCAAGAATTCCAGGTTTGTAGACCTGCTGTACTCTGTCTGGGACATGATCACCAGACTGTGTCTGCAAGAGTCTAAGTCATGCTACCTACAATTAGGAATTTTTTTTTTTAAAACAACATTTTTTAACATATTAAAATATGGCCTGAATTTAGGCCTCAGCTATAGCAACAAAGTCTCTTTAAAAGTCTGTTGGTATATTGTACTGTCTCAGTGTATGGTTCTCTTTTGTACTTTAAAAAAAAAAAAAATGCTTCAGAAAGTACACATTTTTGTAGAAACCAATTTCAGCATTTTCTCCTTAAAGTCTCTTTTCTTACTACATATATACTCCAATCTCGTTTCTGAGGCAGCTTCAGAACCCATTCCAAAAAGGGTGAGACAAAGAAACTAACCGAAAACACCCAGTACACATCAGGACTCTCTAGAATCCTTAAGATTATGAGAACAAACAACTCTCTTCTAAAGGCATTCATTCAAAAGTTACACTTTTTTGTTGTGCAACTTACTTCTAAAGAACCAGAAAGCCCTATAAACACAGGGCTTCCCTATACCCCTAGTTTTCTTCAGCCTCTTCACAACAAGGAGTTAAAATACCCTGCCAAAATAAATTTAAGAAACAGAGATCACACCAAAACCAACAATATTCACTGCCTTAACACTTCATTTTAAAACTCAGTTAAAAAAAACCCCAAACTTTGTTAGCCTCTTTTCATGTTCTTTCAATTACCCTAGTTCTGATCTTTTTTTCTTAGTTCGTTGTTTTTTTGCCTTCGCTAATTTGGTACATCAAACCTATGTCTTTAAGAAATTACAGCTGAATGAAAAACTGTATACTGTAGTATCTTTCTGGTAGTTCTAAAGTCAGAACTAAAGTGGCGATCCAGTCCCAACTCTTCAGAGAGCAGCACAATTATTTCTTTATAAATTCAGAAACATGTCCCTATGTTTTTTCACATTTAAACATTAGTTTTCAGAAATTGGAACTATACTTGATTTACACAGCAGAAAACAATGGTGAGGGGCAAGGAGGAGGAGAAGATACAGGAAGCTACCCAAATTCTCCTACAGTAAACACACTCCACCCACCACCACCCCCTTCAATAGTTTCTCCTTCAAATGTCTCCAGTCTTCTCTTTCTGCTCCTAGTTCTAGAGTTTTGTCTCACTGCAATGACTGGAGTACATTCTTCTCAGTAAATTAAAACCCAAACCACACCACACCACAGTACACACAAGAACTAAGGTATCAGAGAAAAGGGTTCAGTGCTGTTATCGCTGCTCAGTTGACACAGAATGGAAACACTGAACGTAAGAAGAGTTAAAAAGAAAGACTGGTGGGCTGAGTCAACCCAACCATGAAACCACAAAAACAAAGTTGAGCTCTACACCTAGCACTTGCAACAAACATGAATTTGATTTAAATTTTTGTAACAAAGCTTAATAAACATAAGTATTCAGAAACAAACAGACGTATTCTGAAACACTGGCAGAGACCGCCAAAGGATTAAGGTCTCGTATCTCAACGTGCTAACCGGACAGAACGGCAGCGAGAAGTACAGTATTAAGTCTGGTGAACGGACATTTAATTTATGCACTGTTGCCACTCAGCTACTGGGTGATACCAGGGGAATGGCCAGCTGCTCTGGGCAGACAGATGTCCGTACCACAAAACTGCCATCCCAGCTGGCAGTCCCAGTAGGGACCGAGCATGTGCCCATAAATTGGTGCCCAAGCATGGCAGTGAGATTAGCATGCTGACAAAGCAAACCAGCTAGCACTGCATGCGCTTCTCAGCTCTGGTATTAGGCGTTAGATATTTTCAAGGAAAAAAAAAAAGTCGGGAAGAAAATGAATGCAAGTGCAACCTGTTTGAGTCAACTCAATCTTCTATAGTTTTATTATTTCTATCAGATAAATAAAAAAATCTGTTTACTAGCACAAACTAATATTCACGTGGAGAAAACAATATTACCAAGTAATTAACATCCCACTAAGTTTTCAGTCTGGCAAATAAAAACCAGCAAATTAGGTTTTGTATTTACTTCACCTGTTAATGTAATTAATACATGAAAAGAATTATTTCCACTGAGAAAATGCATATTTATGCATGAATGATCATTCTTTGCTGCAGAAACCCCCTATTTTCCTTGCTCAAAGAGTAAGACCAACTTTAGACCATAGTCTTAATGCCGTATGAGAAACAACCTTGCTTTTAAAGAAGTTCAAAATGGATTTCAGCATACTATTGAATTATTTTAAATATTTATTTTAAGCAAGATAGGCTTTACAGAAGAGACTGGCTTTCTTAACTGACAAAAAACCCATACAAAATCAGCAGCATATGCTAATTTTTTCATTCTTTAAAGTATCCTACACCTCTTTAGTAAAACTGTATGCATTTCCAAATCGTTGTAATTACAATTACTTGAGTTTTCCTGACACCAGTTTTTCTGTTTCTCTAATTTACATTGGCAGGAATGAATGAAGATAAATATTTCAAGCTTCTGGACTCTAAATGGTAACAATAAAAAAATCACCCAAGTTCTTCAGCTTTCTTATACACTTACCAATGGAATTGTTGACTTTGTCCCCTTTTTTCTTCTTGTTTTTCTTGTTCTTGCCTTTTGGTTGAGGAGAATCTGCAAGTATTAGTTTATTATTTTGCTGCTGTTCACTTGGTGAAGGGGATTCACTTGTTACGGGTGCTTTCTCTTCCTTTACATGGTTCAACTGTTTTTTGTTGTTTAATTTCTTCTCCTCCTTTTTAGGTTCTGCAAGTGTTGGGAGCTCTGCTGCTTTTGCTTTGGATTCTATTTGGTTTCTGGTTTTAGTCTGAATCTCAGCTGCTTTGGGGGATTCAACAGGCTTTTTCATTTGTTCAGCACATGGTTTGTTTACCTGCTTTAGTTTCTGTTTGTTGTTTCCTTCTTTATGTTGATGCATAATATCAAGCAGAAAAGAGAGGGGCTCATGCTGCTTTACACTCCCCTCTTTCTGATAAAGCAGCTTTGAGTCTCTAGTGTTTACAGGATTGGATAGTTCACAGCCTGCCTCCGAAACCGGCCTCTGTTCTGTATGATTCACATGTCTTGACAGTGAACCAGAGGAGGTTTCTATCTTTTCTGATTGCTCAAGTGTACCATTCTGAATGTCTTCGGGTGTGTTTGGGACAGATTCCTTCACTGCCTGGCAGTTTTGAGTAAGCATGTCCACCTTCTGACAGTCTTTACTTGTTCGTTCTTTCTTCTTTTTCTTTACAGCCCGCAACTGCTGAAGTTCTTGAAGCCGCTGTAATTCTTGTTTCAGCCTCTCTTCTTCTTCTTCCTCTCGCCGTCTCTGTTCCTCAAGCAACTGGTGATGCTCCCTCTCCCTGGCTTCTGCTTCAAGTCGAGCTTTTTCTTCAAGCTACAACATAACGATAGGTTTATTGAAAGTGACATATATTTTGGAAATTAGAGTCCTAGGGATTATTACTACTTTTCTCTATGAATGTTATAAACCCTAGGATGTTAACATACTTAAATCCAGATGCTGGCGCAGCAAGCAAATAGCTATCTACACAAAAGCTGCCCTTTAAAGTACATTAAAATCCTTTCTATATTTCCATTTTTTATGTTTCTGTAATGTATTTGACTGTTGTTAATACCAACTGTTGATCTTCTCTTTGCTACTGCTAAGCCTAACTGCATATCAAAGTTCTCTACAACCACAAAAACCTGTTGAAAACAAGACATTCAGCTTCATTCTCAACAACTGTGTGTATTAATTACTAAGGTAACTCAGGTTTGCATCATGTTGCATTGTTTACCTGTTCTCTTGCTGTGGTGGCAGAGTTGCTCTGTTTCAGTGTTCATAAACATTAGGAAGAGCAATCGTTAAAAACATTTTACAGCAAAACACTAAGCACATTAAAGCTACACTAGAAGTTGTTAAAAATAATAAGGATGGTAAAGTTTTCTGTTGTCAGCCATAAGTTCATTGCCCACATGAAGCAAAGACGCAAGGGAGTTTCTCCAGCCATTACCGTAAATGCCTAAAACTTTGCTGTGCAGCATCGATCTTGTATCATTAGGAAAATGAAAGAAAAAGTTGTACACTGAGAACAATCATGTCCATTTATTTTCTTGCACATTTAGAAGTGCCTGTGTGGGATTACCTTTTCACAGTTATAGAAATCACACAAAAACACCTATGAGAATATTCCACTACTTATGTTCAAACTGCATTCCAAGAGCAAAGTGAATTTTATTTATAAATAACTCACTAAGTCCTCAAGTTGCTGAATAGTGCAGCAACATGAACGTAAAGAATATGATTTGTGAACATCAGGTCTTCCAAACCCATGGAAGCATTTAAAGAATGCAGAATTAGTGCCAGCAAACAAATTCACAAACAAAAAATATTTACAATGCAGAAGAAATATTCACAACATGCTTACCAGAATTCAAAAACATTCAGCTATCAATCTCATTGCACCTTGAACTTTATACCTAAGGCTGACACTTGAACTGCAGTAAGAAAAGCCAATTTCCTGCTTGTTCAACTTAAAAGAATAAAAAAAAATTCCTCTAGTAGCTCAGCAAATATTGTTTAAAAAAAAATTCACTGTTACACTTTAGATTTTTTTAGAAGTGTTTTTGCCAATTTCCATTTGAAAGCAACCTGTAATTGTTTCTTCTCTGCCACCTCTCTGCAGCTTGCCACTTCTCTCTAGCTTGGGATAGCCCTTTGTGTCATCCTGTGGCACAGTGCTTAACCTCATTCAATCAGTACAGCAAGGTGCCTAGTGCAATCATTCTAAATATATGAAATCTTGACTTTTCCACTCTCATAAAAACACTGACCTTATGTTTCCTGGCTTCCTACAGAGACACTTTATCATAACCATTATCCCAATAAAGAAACATTAGTTTTCTAATTTCCTTGACTTTTAAATGTCAATTCTACAAACCAAGCAAATTCTTAACATCTCTGACACTTAGAAATAGCTTTCTAAAGCATAAAAAATTCCAATATAAAGCCGACTTGCAACAAAACACATGACAATGACATTGTGAGGAATCTTCCCAGTCTACTACATAACTCCTTAGGCAGCCTCAGAACAGGTAAGCCAGCTGTGTACATACAAACAGGCAGCGTACCACAAACTACACAGAAAACAATTATACCATTATTATAAAGCCAGTATACAGTGGTATACTTACAGAGAGTGCACAGATTCAAAAACATGAGGTCTAGGACAAACATACTTTTATGTCTTACCTTTCTTTGCTTATGTCTGGCTCTCTTGGCTGCCCGAGAACTGCTTACTGGTTTGGTTTCAGAGCTGTTTATAAATTGTAGCAAATCTTCCACCTTTCGGTGGTCAACAACACTTTCCCTTTCAGAGATTTGATCTGGTTTCTTCGGCTGTTCCTCCTTCCTTTTTGTTAGACGTAAACGAAGCTTTTCTCGCATCTCTGCGTAATTTCTACTGGTTGGTGCAGCTGGAGGCTGAAGGACACGAGACAAAAATTTAGGGACTAAATGTAAATATTTCACTGACCTAATACTTGTGAGATTTTGACATTTTAGAGACCTTCAAATAACTTGGAAGGTCCAAACCTGAATATCAAACTCCTTATTTATGTTTATCAAACTCCTTAGGTATGTGTACCTAAAGGTGTATTTAACAGGCAAACAGACCTGTCAGACTTGTTGCTAGCTTGTGAACTCTATTTTCCAACTGAAACAATGACTGATCTTGTGGAGGAATGCACAAGTAAGAAGACAAAAAAATGCTTTTAAAAGCAAGAAAGGAGATTTCCATGTTCTCTTGTGATCAGTTTACCACATTTGAACATTTGAAAGGAGCAGACATTTGCTGCTGTTTCCATTTTCTGTGAAGTCTGTTTCAGAGTTTGGGCTACATGGGCCTCTGGGCTGCAGCTGTGAAGGCTTGATTATCCTGCACTGAAGTGTGCCAGCATAACTCCAGCAGAGTTGCATCATTAACTTGTTAACACTGCTGCAAGTTGAATCCTTGCGTCATGTTTCATATCTGTATTCCCACCCACTGCTCCTGCCTCTGAACTCCTCATTCTTCCTCCCCTCCTGCTGCCTTACCCTCTCCCCTCCTGCACCAGATTCAGTGCCCAGCTGTTTGGAGCTACACCAGTTCAACTCATTAAACCAGCAAAACAAAGCCTAGTAACTTAAAAATCCTGTAGTGTTCTGCCACTTCAGCAAAATGAATAATTTATTGTGCAGTCAGATGACTATCAAAGACAGATCAATCACGGACACGGTAGGAACATGCAAAGAGAAACGGGATCTCCTGCCCGTCCCCTTCAGCCACAGGGCAGGGGCTTTTAATTCACTTCAAGCCCTAAGACGAAACTGCATTCGATCAAACACATGGCCAGTAAACTGAGCTTTCACTTCAAATCGGAAAAAAATGCCAGAGACTCAAATTCTACTAGTTAACTGATTATTAAAACAGACTATACACAGATTTGCAAATGAGGCCAACAGGAAAAGGAAATTTTAAGTTAAGAAAATTAATTTTAAGAAAAATTTGGAACTTGAAAAAGCTTTTAGCATTTCATTTGTGCAAATGAAAAGATACGATTACAAGAATTCACTAGACATGTTACTGGTATGAAGTTAACTTAAGGATGCTTCAAAAGTGTTACATCTTAAAATAAAGATGATAAAGGAAAAGACCCTGTATAACCTGCGTGCTTTAGAACTTCGTAATTTCTTCAAAACACCCTTTAAATACAAATACAAGTCAGTGTCTATCAAAATGCACCAGTAAAGAAAGTTGTTTGTCATACTGAAAACAGGGGAAATGCAGTTTGGGTTTTCCTTTGATACAAGTATAACTTAGACTTACAGTGCCTAAGTTCTAGGTAAGAAAAGTTTCTTTTTTTTTTTTTTTTTTTTTTTTTGTTAAAATCAAGTTAAAGTGAATACTTTGAGGATCACTATTTTTACAGATGGGAGAATGGCTTATAAATTGCCACAAACATTTTAAAAAATATCCCATATTAAGTGTAGTTTTACCCAAACTCATCACATTATTTATAGTTACACTACTACAAATGAGTGCATAAATTTTGTAAAGTTATTTAAAAGGCTCAACACCCGTTTGCAGTTTCAGTCAAACAGTGTATCTATTATCCAACTCAGTTGCTTCCTAAATCTTTTAGTCTTTTTTTATTGCTCTTGAATTGCTTTCAACTAGAAAGATTTGTTTCAAATCCTTCATTTCAAGAAGGAAAATTACTTTCTAACCATGCTCCTTTTACTACTTCTCTTGAGCAAGCTCCAATGCCACCCCGAGTTGCAGTCTGATAAATCACATGCAATCAATGATGAGTAAGTGACAAAAAAGCAAATACAAAAAAAAAAAATTGAAATCCAACAACTTACTCCTCCATGGCCGAAGAACTCACAGTAACAGCAGTCACAGTATTTTCCTTCCTTCTGATTTGTGGATGTTGAGGTACTGGAGCTATGCTCTGAACAGCTGTCCTCATCTTGGCTCTCCTCTCCATCATACTGTTGATGATCATACGTGTTACTGTTCTCACAGCGATGGCCCTCACAATCAGGATCACTACGTTAAATTAAGAAAAAGCTTATAAAAACTCCAGGTATTTGAAAAAAAAAACATATATAGTTATATGTATACCAGGAACAATGACTCAAACCGGGCTATCAACCATCAGTGATGCATCAAATCCTAAAGCCTTCATGCAGTAGCTTTCAGAGATGCTCAAAACCAAGCAGCAAGATAAGATGATACATGGGAAAGCTATCTATGAGAAACTCATTTAGTGACTCACTGAATGAGCAGCCTAGAAAATGAGTTTTGGAACTGTTCTTCCTGGCTTTAAACAGGTAAAATAGTTTCAGAAATAGTGATTTTAGCTTTTTAAATGGAATGGTTTTGAAACTGCTGCTCATCTCATCACTTGTGGTCTGAAGAGAGCTGTGCAGCTGCAAAGTACTCAACTTATTTCTAAAACCCCCTGGTTTTAGATAGATTTTCAAACTCTTGACTTAAAAAATTCAAGGTCAGCTAAAAACAGAATGTTCCCATTACCCTATTTGCACCTTTATTTTCAAGAGGAAATACTAGCATGTCTCTTCAGTAAGCAGGTACATAGCAGTTTATTCCCTCCAGAGCTCTGCATAACTGTGCACCCAACTACTGTCCAGTTCTTCTAAAACTGATGTGATCTTGCTTCAAATGTAGAAAGTACTTTAAAAAAATCCACTCATCTAGCATTAGTATTTCTTTGTTCTTATATTAGAAAGGTGAAAACAGGCTATAATCTGTCTTACCTGCAAAATATACGTGAATCTTCTTTCTAACCTCACTTCCTCCCCCCCTCCGCCGTAAGTTTTTCAAGAATTAGTGACCAGGACAGAATGAAAAATTGTTCAACTTCAGTATCCTACTTGGGGAAAAGGCATGCAAAATTGTTGCACATAACAGCAGATACTGCCAGTCAGTGCAAACATTGACTTGTCAGTTTGAGCAGCCTTGGCATCACTGTTTCTTGCCTGTTGCGAGTTAGCATTACAGCGCCCAGCAGCATGGTGGGATACCATGTGCTATGGGTAACAGATACAATTCCGTAGAAATCAAGGCTTCATTAGTTCTGTCGCTCAGTCACTAAATCGAAAGACTAGAGCATAAAGCAGTTTTTCCCATTATAGCACATCACTGATTCATACAGACTGCAATAATTGTTGCTGGGTTCTCTCCCAGTTTGTTCCTTATGAACTAAAATTACTTTATCATGTTAGCACGTGGAGATGATGATAAAAGTTGGATTTCTATTGCATTAAATAGCCTATATTCAATTCTCTCCCTGCACTAGGTAAGAAAGTTTCTTTACAAAATTGCAATAATTTCTTGAGCATGAAAGAACAATTACTTATTTTGTGATACCATTAAAAAAAAACAGTTGATAACAGAAATAAGGGCATTTTTAGAAGCTTCGGTATGCAGTTATCTAACTCTTGTCTAAATCTCACATCATCTTCTGAAAACCACTGCTGTAGCCAGGAGACTACATTCATAGCAACCATGACCACAGCCCTACAGGTCAGAGTACTCAGAGCAATGACTCAACTGCTTTTCTGTTATGCCTGCACTCTTCAGACATATCAAAGAGTTGGCACCATTGTCAGTCTGCCACAAGACATAACACTACCAGAAGATAGCTCCCCCAAATTCCTCCCAACCTCCAAGACCTTTGAAAGCCTTTGGAAATCAGAACATCCTTCCACACTACAACCACTGTATAAATGGTGGTACTGACACCTAAGAAGTCTAAGTGCAGTCGGGAAAATGTGTTACTGTGTGGCAGGTTTCAAGACCACGTATGACCTTCTTATAGTTTGAACTAAATCTGTCTACAGAGTCCTTAAGTTTTCACAGCTTTTCATTACTGCTTGCCATGTCAGGCCAAACCGACAGAAAACAGATATATTATACAACAGGTTTGTGTGTCAGCAGCAGCAATCACTACTGTCAATGACAGAGTAAGAAAGAATACAGCTTGACTTATTTATCCCAGGCCACGTTTCTAAAAGTGAGCAAACATTTGTTTTCAAGCCTCTAAACTCAGTAACTAGATTCTGCAATGGAAATCATATCTGCAAAGTCTCACACCAAGTTATGTATTAAGTATCAGAACTCAGTCTCATTTGCTGACCACACAGACAGCTCTTCTTTCAGGCTACAACCACTGGCAAAGGAGAAAAGGTGTCTGTATTTTAATTCCCCTTCCACTGTAAAAAAGAATGACAAGAATAACAACAAACTTACCTGCAGACACTTGGTGGGGCACTTACAGAGCTATCTGTGGTTGAAGTAGGAGGTGCAACTGTAGTAGGACAAAGACCTGAATGAGGATCCACAAATCCAGGGGCTGTTGCAGCAGTTTTGGGGAAAGAAGGAGCAGCAAGATTTGGAAGATGCGGTGTAGAGGCTGGAGACAGTGCAGCAGGAGACAGTGAAGGAAGGGATGCTAAACTGGTAGGACTATTTCGTGGTGCAACTGGTGCAGAATGTCTATGGTCCTCTTTATTAATATTGTGGAACACTTCACCTAAATTGGGGAAAAAAGAAACCACTTAAAATTAAAAATATTAATAAGTCTCATCACAATCATGCAAAGTGCTGGATATTCTCAGCTTCTGTAAAAATGGGGTAGTATTTCAATATCTTTCTATTCAGTCCCAATAACACCAAGGTCTTTTACAAAGTTCTTTAATTCAGGAGTACAGAGACTACAACTCAAGACTAGTAAGAACAGCAATTAACGAAAATCATCAAGATCCATAGTATTACTAAAATAAACACATATAAGTCTTTATGGTTAGCTAAACGTACTTGAGTCAGTTACTAAGCTGTATGTGAATGACAAATCCTTACCTATTGATGAAGGTCTCTTGGATGATACTTTGAATTGGTTGCTGCTTGACTGCACTGTAGTAGCAGTGCAGGAGACAGAAGAAGTGGCAGAAGAGGTTGCCATGACAACTTTATTAGCTTCCATAAAGGCATCCTGGAAATTGTACAGACATTTCTTCTTTGCAGCGTTTTTTTTCTCTTTGCTGTCAGTAACTGCTGTTGCTTCATTGCTAGATGTAGTAGGAAGTGCTTCAGGTCTTATTTCTGAGAGTGCTGGTGCTAATATATCACTCCCTTCAATTGAAACACACACAGTAATTAAGAATCACAGAATTACAGAATTGTCTTTATGGTATTTAGAATTAAACAAGCAATAATTTAGATGCAGACAAGCAAGGATATATTGTTAGTGTTGGCTTGGTAGGATTAGTGAAGTGTTCCTCCTCTCTCTTCCCTCCCCCCCAAATAATATAGCTGTAACAAAAAGTGCTAAGAAGTCTCGGAGCAGAAGTCACAAACATTAACGTTACAATTTTAAGAACACTACTAAATGTGTGTTAACAAGTGGCAAAGATGCTACAGATATCTTTATCCACTTAAAATTTAAAAATTAAAATTGGACCCCATTTTACATGCTAAGTATAGAAGCTTCAATATCTGAAGCCCAGGTTAGCCATGCAACAGTTATAAGCAGGAACATATCCTTCTATCAATATAACATCACAAATCCTATCTTTACTTACTGATAATTCCAGCTAAATACAGTAACACCTTTGTGATAGACCTTCCACACAAGCTTGACACTAACCATCTGTTGGAACAGCTACCCATAACTACATTTGTAAATGGATGAGCTATGCTACCAGGGAAGTTTTCTGGAGGTTTTTAATGCCTTTTCTTTTAAATATCCCTGTAGTAGCTTGACACAAGTTAGCAGCAGATCAGTCTGAAAAAAGCCAAGACACAAAACCAAGCTTCCTTTTTCATACACGTCAAATAAAATAAAAAAGGCATTTTAGTATTTGCTGTGATGTGAATGGAAAGATATATATCTGTATCTAGATCTACAGATGTTGTTATTTCTCTTCTATTCTCTTTCACTTTAACCATTAGTATTTCCAAAGGCTTCCTGGCTTAAATTAATCTTTTGCTCTGTCTTTTTGAATGACAATGCAGTTATCTGCTCATTATAAGAAGTAGGATGTAGTATCACTTTACCAGGACTCTTACGACCTTGTAGAAAGAGAGCAGGCCTTTGCGGCAGAAGACCAAAAATTATTTAAGTTTCCCCTTAATTCTCATTTCTTTGCAACCCTAAACTTCTGAAGGCAAAAATACCTCTACAATGACTGTAGGTGAAAAACAGCGTGCTATTCTTTTGCCTTTAGGATCCTCTCCCCAGTACATAAGAATTTATTTTTTCAATTTTCAGCCCCACTGGAGTAGAAATGGCAGCAAATCTCTGCCAGAATCCTGTCTTATAAAACCACGATGATGAAACCTACCATTCCTGGAAAAAAGTGCCACACTCCATTTCAAAACATAAGGTTTTTAACCACTCAGTGTGAAGTAGTAACAAACCCTCACCAGGAATTGTATCAGGCAAAAATGTAGCAGGATTCCAGTTCTTGTCATTCATCATCTCTGATCCCCAAAGACTTATAAATTTAGAGCTATTCCAATCTGGAGTGCTCCCAAAACAGCTTGGATAAATATGATCTTGGAGAGATGCATTGAATACTTGATGCTTGTTTGTATGATTCTGAACTGGAGCTGGCGGTAATGCCTACAAAAATAAAGAGTATTTTCCTCATTAATATTCTGTTTGCTTACACAGTCAACTCCAACAGCAATATTCAAATCATAGTGTTTCAATTGTGAAAGGCATTATAAAAAGCATAATAAACAATATTTCCCAGAATGATAAAAAGACTGGTTTGTTGATTTTTAATACAGATAATATGTTACACAGATTGTATGTATATATTTTATAATCACAAACATTGCTTTTAGATTCAGCTAACTGATGAATACAAAAAAGCATTCTCCAGAAATACTTGGGTTAATATATATTGGTAGGCCCTCATTTTTAATTAAAACCAGTATTTGTATGAGTGTAGCACTTGTTAGGAATTATTACCTTTCAAAGCCCAAGCTGCCAAAACCAATCCTCTGTGACATGATAATCATTACCACATGAGACAATTGTGATAAAGGGATTACATACACTTCAGGATTGAAAATAAGCACAGTAGAAAAAGAAATAAAACACATATTATTTGAGAACATAATTTTAAAGTTGATTATATTCTGCTTTTTTCATCTCCAAGTATTACCAGCTTCCTGACTTAAAACTTAACAAGGCAAGGAATACACCCTTTTATTCTAAAAGGCAACTGCGGAGACAAAGGGACCACACATTTTTTTTCTTGTTTTAGAGAGGCAAGTTTTTCTGGCTCACCCCATTTCTTCTAGCTGAAATTGTTTACTCACATTCTAAAATGTAACTTTCTCCCAGAGACCTTGTACAATGCAAGCATTATATTAAATTACTTGAAAAGAGCCAAGGAAAAGTGAGCTTGTTCTATTTTTGCACTAGATTTGATGCAATGAAAAGCTATGAAGAAGTAGATATAGATATTAAAAATATCAGCCAAGTGCAATGACATTTCAGACATGAAAGTCTAAACATTCATGGCCAAACAAACTACTTATATATCCAGTCTCCTTTTTCTACACAGAAGAATTTTCACCACCTGACTAAGGTGAATGTGGGAGGGGCTAGAATGTCCTGCATAAAAGAAAACTCATAAACAAACAAACACTTCACAGGGCAGAACAGCCTATCCATGATGAACCAAGCCTGATCCAGGAGGGCTTATTAGCTCATTCACTACCAGCTCTGCTGAATTCAGCTGGCTCTTCAAAGGCGAAAGCTCCCTAAAGCTTCAGCTTCCACATATGTCTTTCTAGCTCCAGCACAACATAGATACATGGATCCCAGCTGGTTCAGGTGCTGTGCCAGAGCTAGTAGATCTGGCCTGCATTACAAAGCCACTCAGTGCTAGCAGCCTGCTACTCTGCATGGGGCTTCTGGTGTAGCCTTGACAGTCCACTGCAAATGTTCCACTACACAAAGGTCTTCTGAAAGGGAAGACAGCAGAGATCAGGGATGGGAGCTTGAGTAGACTGCTCTAAGGGATATAAAAAGAGCTCTGGAAGGATGGCAGAAGGTGGGGTACAACAATCAGAGGTTTCAGAAGAACAGCAGTGGGCTATTGAGAAACAGCAGGCTGGCACGCTGCCGTTAAGGAACTGGCACACTGCAACAAAGATAAGGAAGGGACACCGATAAGACGGGAAAAAACAAAGCAGATATTACGAAGGACGGTAAGAGTAGTTCACTAAGATGACTATTACTTAATCTACTCTCCTTGCAACCACAGGATCACAGGAGCAGATGAAAGCCAGAGGACAGAAATATGGACCTAATGACAAAGTCTTTGCCCCTTTCAGAAGCACCCACAGTTCAACTGATTTAAATACTACGTGAAATGCCACCACATTAACAGTAATTCTTGCTTTTGACTCATACTTCTGAAAAGCAGTCACCTGGTCCCAATCCTTGTTCCACAACTTTCTCTTGTTTATTACTTACAAGTTTTGGGTCAGAAGAATTTTGCAGAATCTGCAAAAAAGCAAGTTCTCTCAAAGCAAAAAAACACTTAAAAATAGATTCCTATGCTTCAATTGTCTCAAAAAAAAATTTAAATCACTAATATTTTGAACTAGAAACCTCAGGATATTATTGCCAAAATGGAATATTAAATTTTGACCTTCGATATATAGGAAGCGAAGATTTAATTAGTCCTGTCACACTTACTAAAGCCCCATTACTGTTTCCACCACTGAAGACTCATTTGACTCCACGTTCTTTCTAATCTAATCACAGTAAGGAAGTTATCAGCCTTCCTGACAAAAGCTACCCTTAGCCCTGCTGTATGAACCTCCCACCAGTTCTGAATCTGTCCTATTCCCTACCCCTCACTATTCCCTCCAAAAGGACTACAATGAACAGACCACAATTTAAAGCAACTTTCATGGTTTCATTGATACTCAGTCATGCTGGTTTATACAGGTGTACAGTATTTTTCCTGGGACCAGGATACATCCATCTCCTTCATCAGGCTTACCTTATTGTGTGTAAAGGGAGAGGCTGTATACAAGGTGGGATGGATAAGTGGACGAGGCAGATGAGGAATTGTATGCAATGGTATATGTCCATGGATGTGAGGATAAAGATGAAGTGCAGGATGTGCAGGTTTTTCAGGATTCATAAACTGGTGGCCAGCAGGCAAGCGTCCAGTTGCAAGTGCAGAGGCCGTTAGACCTGAGGCTTCTTGTTTGCAAACGTGACATTCACAAGCATTTGGACCTTGGTCAGCCTGGTAGAAAATTAAAAAAAAAAAAAAAAAAAAAAAAATTTTTCAAATCTACTCAACAGACAGTAAAATCAGCTATTTCCCCCGTCCTTTTTCCTTAGTAATCATTAATATTATTTCATTTTGCATACATCAATATTTTCAGAGCATCCACAAAATTCTTTCATCTAATACCAGTGGAAAAACCTTGTAGTGAAGTAAAAGCACTCAGTTAAGAAAAGAATGCCTTAAAAATTGACAGCATTTCATACGATACAGGTATTTAATGTCCACTATCAGTAACCACAAGTGAGATATTGATACAAATAATCAAGAACAGACAGGAACAGGAACCTTGACAGCATTTGATCATTTCTAGGCAATTAAGTACCCCACTATATACATTAAAAAAAAAAATCAAATTGGATTATTATTTTCCACAATTTTCCAAGCATACAGAAAAACAGCATGTGTAGAAAGTAGTAATAAGGGTTGATTAGCTGACAAAGTTGGTAGTCCTGAGCTGCGTTAGGCAGAGCACTGCCAGCATGTCAAGGGAGGTGATCTTTCCACTCTGCTCAGCACTAGTGAGACACATCTGGAGCGCTGGGTCCAGTTCTAGGCTCCCCAGTACAAGAGAGACATGGACATATTGCAGTGAGTCCAATGAAGGACCACAAAGATGATTGAGGCCTTGGAGCATTCATCATACAAGGAGAGGCTGAAAGAGCTGGGACTGTTCAGCCTCAAGAGGGAAGACTTGGAGGATCTTACCAATGTGCGTTCCCCAACTGGGCGGGGAAGAGGAGAGTAAAGAGGACAGAGCCAGTGGTATCCCATGAAAGGACAGGAGGAAATGGGCACAGACTAAAATACAGAAATTCCACTCAAGCTTAAAGCATTTATTTATTTGTGAGAGTGGTTGAACACGTTACCCATAGCAGTTCTGGAGTCTCCCATCCTCAGCGATACTGAAAAACTGACTGGACACAGTGCTGAGCAACCTTCTCTAGATGACCTTGCTTTGAGCAAGAGGGCTGGACTAGACTATCTGCAGATGTCCCTTCCAAACACAGCTATTCTGTGATTATGTGAAACAGACATTTCTCACAAAACATTTCATAATTGCATCAACCATGAGAAATCCATGCCTTGTTAGAACCTTTTACTGAGCTCAAGGTATCATTAGCCTCTGTTGTCTCAAAAGGCTTCAAGATTTTGAAAGAAAAGCAGCCCAGGAAAGAGTAGATCCATCCCCCCCTCTCACCTCAGTATTTTTCCCTGCCACTGTCACCTGACATTGCACTGGAAGATAATTTTACCAGAAGCAATACGAGGAACACTTCCCAATTGCTGTTCTTCCCAGCAATGAGGCATGTCGTGGTTTAGCCCCAGCCAGCAACTAAGCAC